CCTGCAGCACTTGTATTGTTTTTTGGACTTGAATGACAGAATAGCAGAGGAGAATTACCCCCACCCCCCCCCCCCCCCCACTCCCTCGCTCACCCGCTCCAGTGCTTCAATCTAAAATTTCCATATTTTCAAAGGACACCATTGATAGCACACCACATGGAGCAGGGGGGGGGGGGGGGAGGGGCAGGAGGGTAGGGGGGGGGGGTCCTTTTCAAAGTGATTTCGAAACAGAATCCTGGTCAAATAACTTTTTTTTTTTTTGTGATACATTTAGAAAGTGGTCCATTTCGACTGCAAAGGAGTGTGTGTGTGTGTGAGTGGGTGTGTCTGTGTCTGTGTCTGTGTGTGCGTGCGTGTAGTGAGCGGGGCGCAGGATGTGCATTCTTCTCTCTTGTTCTCTCTGGTTCTTTCTCTTTATCTTTCGTACTGCCTGTTTGGTTTTCAATTTGTGATTTTATCTAATTATCGGTCTATCTGCCCACCTGTTTATCTGTCAGCTTATCTAATGTTCAAAATATTCATCTTGATATCAAGACAGACTGGGAGAAATACAGAGAGAGAGAGAGAGAGAGAGAGAGGAGAAGGAGAGAAATACAGAGAGAGAGAGAGAGAGAGAGAGAGAGGAGAGAGAGCAGAGAGAGAGAGAGAGAAGAGAGAGAGAGAGAGAGAGAGAGAGAGAAAGAGAGGAGAAGAGAGAGAGAGAGAGCAGTAAGAGAGAGAAGAGAGAGAGAGAGAGAGAGAGAGAGAGGAGAGAGATAGAAGAGAGAAAGAGAGAGAGAGAGAGAGAGAGAGAGAGAGAGAGAGAGAGATGGAGTAGAGAGAGAGGAGAGAAGAGAGAGAGAGGAGAGAGGGAGAGAGTAAGAGAGAGAGAGAGAAATAGGAGACAGAGAAGAGAGAGAGAAGAAATAAGAGAGTAGAAGAAGGAGATGAAGAGAAAGAGAGAGCGAGAAAAAAAAAGAGGAAGAGAGAGAGAGAGGAGAGAGAGAGGAAGAGAGGAGAGAGAGAAGAGAGAGAGAGAGAGAAGAGCGGAAGACCAAAAGAGAGAAAGGTGAGAGGTTAGGGAGGAGAGTCAGAAATATATAGAAAGATAGAAATGAAAGCTGAAAATAATAGAATAAAGAAAGAGAAGAAAGGGAGAGGTGAATTTACAGGGCCGAGCTGGCAATAAGCAAACAAACAAAACAACAACCAAAAAAAAAGCATGCACCAGACAAGTTCTAGGTCCGCATCAGTTCATCTCGAGGTCTGGCACTTTTATGGCCGATTCAAGATACCTTTAAATGATGCTCAACCCTCACCCCCTGCTCACTCCTCCCCCTTCCCTCTCGTCCCCTTCCCCTTCATTCCGTTTCCGCCTTCCCTCTTCCCTCCCCTCTCCCTTCCCCCATCCTCCTTCCCCTCTCCCTGCTTCCTTCCGCTCCTTGCCCCCTACCCCTCTCCCATCTTCCTTCTCCGCTCTTCCCCCCTTCCCTCCTTCGCCCTTCCCGCCAATCCTTTCTTCCTTTTCTCTCCCCCCCACCGGCTCTCTGCTCTACGATCAAAGTGTGTGGAAGAGTTATGAAGATAGAAATACAGGAGGAGGAGGTAAGAGGAGGAAGAGGAGAGGAAGGAGGGTGGTAGTTAGGGAGGAGAAGGCAAGAGGAAGAAGGTGAATGGGGTAGGAGGAAGAGAGAGGGGAGGAGGGGGTGATAGGGGGGAGGAGGAGGAGGAGGGGGAGGAGAAGGAAGAGGAGGAGGAGGAGGAGTAGGAGGAGAAGGCAGAAGGAGGAGGAGGAGGGAGGGGGTGTAGGATAGGAGGAGGCAGGAGTGATGGGTTGATAGGGTAGGAGGAGGAGGAGGAGGAGGGGGGGGTTGAAAGTAGTCGGAAAAAACATGTAGGTGGGAAAGAGAAAGAGAGAAGGAAAGACGGAGGAATGTAAGTGGAAATGGAATTGAAGAAAAGAAATGGATAATGGAAAGAAAGAAATGAAAAAATTAAGGTAAAGAAAGAAAAAGAGGAAAAGAGTCTCAGGAGGATTATTTCGCAAGATGA